CCCGATTCATTGTGACAAGTGTGGTCTCCTGCGTCCGAGTTAGATTTTGAAAGTTCAGTCCATAAATAACCTTTGACACTAGAAGAGTCCGCACTAGACGGCGTAATAGGTCTTCTTGAGCCCCCCAAGCTTTGTTGGTAATTGCTTTGAGGAGGGTCAGACCGTTTTTCCACTGTTTTTTTACGTGCTTCATCCATGTGTTGGCCCTTCCGTGGTGGTCGAAGGGGACACCCAATATTTTCACACAGTCTGCCTGTGTGATGGGAGTGTTTTCCAGGTTAAGATGGATGTCTGTGCGTGATTTTTTGCACTTTGCGTGAATTACCATATACATGGTCTTCTCCTTAGAAAGCTGAAGTCCGGTGTTTTGTGCGAAAGTGGTGACGATGTCAAGGGCACGTTGCATGTGGTATTGCTGGTCGGATGCCAGTCCGGCTGTCGTCCACAGGGTGACGTCATCCGCATAAATGGTATAACGCACCTGTGGAACGGCCTCAAGGGCTAGGGCAAGATCGGTCATGGCGAGGTTGAAAAGGAGCGGCGACAGAACCGCCCCTTGCGGTACGCCGATGTTGTTGGCCTTCCAGGCCCCTTTTGTATTTCCGATCGCCACCTGGTAAGTGCGATTTTTTAGAAAGGTTTTGATAAAATTTAAGGGGCGGCCCTGTATGCCTCGCCTCTGCGCAGCAGCGACCACGGTGGAGTGCGGGATAGAGTCAAAGGCCTTTCGCAAGTCGATGGCGACGAGTGTCCGAGGCTGAAAATTGGAGAGGTGGCGTTCGTAGAGGTCGTGATGAATCATTACCAGGCTGTCTTGAGTTGACATTTGAGGTCGGAAACCAGTCTGCATGGGATGGAGGGCGCCCGTAGTCTCAAGGATCTATTGCAGGCGGCCGATGACCATGCGCTCCAATACCTTGCTTAAATTGGAAGTGAGGGATATCGGTCGGAGATTTCCTATTGCGTGCGGAGTCTTGCCGGCTTCGGAATGGGAATCACTGTAGACCGTTTCCACTCCGCCGCATTGCGCCTTCCATCCAGACCGCATTGAATGTGTCGAGGAGTTCGTTCATCGCTTCCATCGGAAGGTTCCGGAGCGCCGTTATGGTGACGTGGTCCGGACCTGGTGCAGAGTTCGCCTTCGCAAAGCTAAGGGCGTCAATGAGCTCCGCCCTCCATCCCATCCTAGTGAATGATGCGTCCCCCGGTTGTTCGTTTATGATGGGCAGTGGTGTGTAGACCTCGGCCGTTGGTGGAGTAGGTTGTTGAGGAAAGAACTGTTCCCCGGCTAATTCCGCAAGTTGTTCCTCGGTTATGTTAAGACGCAGAGCTAGGTTGCTCCCGGTGTTGCGGGTTTTAATCTTTCCGGCGAGTCCCTTGTACGCATGCCATACCTTCATGTAGCCCGTCCTGTCGTTGAAAGAGTCGCACAACCCTCTCCAGGTGGTGCGGCAGAGCTCGATCGTGTATCTTTGGGCCTTGGCTGTGGCCTGATTCAGGCAGATCTTGTTCGTGAGGGATTTCTTGGCCCTGTACCGAACGAGCGCCTTGAGGCGTTTTTCCCACAGCGTGACCAGGCGGAGGTCGAGGGGTGGCGTGTCCTCTTTCACCTGGTACTCGGTGCGGGCCTCTTTGAGCGCGAGCTGGATGCGCTCTGCGAGGGGGACGCCGTTGTGACGACCTATTGCGGTACGATAGTTGTCCCACTTGGTGAAGGTTGCTCGCCGTCTTGGGGAGGAGCGAATGGAGAGCTGGATAAAAATGGGAAGGTGATCGCTGCCCATGGGGTCCGACTGTACTTGCCATTGGATTTTCAATTTCGGTGATGCCCAGGTTAGATCGGGTGACGTGTCGTTGTGTCCGGGTATCTGGGCCAACCGGGTGGGTACTTCAGGGCTGTTGCAAAGCTTGAGCTTGGCTGCAACACAGGCTTTTTTTAAGCTCTTTCCCCGGGCGTTCTCGTCGGGGTATCCCCACGCGGTGTGACGAGCGTTGAAGTCACCAGCCAGGATGGTGTGCCGGCCCATTGCTACAAGTCCCTTGATCCAAGCAGCCTCGTTGGAGCTCACGGACGGCCTTATGTATGTGTTGTGTATGTCGATCACAGTATCCCCGAGTTTGACCCGCGTAGAGACAACCTCACGGTCGTCTGAACACGCTGTCTCGGAATTTAATTGTGTTTGTGTATGTTTTTTCTTGACCAATGTGGCTACGACACCGTAGTTATTTGTTTGTCTTTTAATGCTCCGCTGTATATATGTGTTATATCCTCGAATTTTGATTTTGTCAACATTAGCTTCCTGAAGAAGGATAACGTCTGGTGCGCGGTCTTTTAGTGCTTGCAGACGAATTTTAAGTTCCGGTAGCTTCGGCTGCAACCCTCCGCAGTTCCACTGAAGTATGCTCGGGGATGGGTTGGAACGCCGTGAGGTGTGTTTAGGTGTGGGGGGTAATTTCTGTTGGTTGACGTTTGGGTTGAGTTGATTAGTGCTTGGCATTATGCGTGTTAATGAGCATATGTATGGCCGCCGTGAGCGCGGTCATCTGTTTTTCCAGTCGCGAGAACCCTGCCTGCTGGGCGCGCAGAGTTTGTAACATCATGCCGGCCTCTTGTGATTGATGTGCTGGTGGTGTCTGGGATTGAACCGATCCCGTGGTCTTAGCTGCATATGAGGTCCCGTCGCCTAGGTGTGCCGGTGGCGCAGAAGCTGTTGGCAGAGGTGGAGGCTGTTCCTGTCCTTGATCCTTTCCTGCTGCTAGTTTGTGGTTGTTTCGCCGCGGTGGGATTGCTCGCTGCGGGAAGTCTTTGCTGGTGGCTACGTGGGCACCGCCGCAGTTCCTGCACTTTGGGGTTTGTGCACATCCTTCCATGCCGTCGTGCTCGGAGCCGCACGTTCCGCATCGAGAAGCGTCCCTAGGGCACACATCCTTCTTGTGTCCGATCGCGTGACAGCGAAAACACACCAGTGGACGTGGGCGGTACTCGTGTACATTAAGGACTTCGCTCATGTAGCTGACTTTCTTGGGGAGAACTTTGCCTTCAAATGTCACAAGGATGGTGTTCCCCTTGGGTCCCATCGGTCTTGCTGCAACGACTTTGTGACTCTTGGACACAATGTCTGCTTGTAGAGACTCGGCGGTCACCTCGTGTCCCTCGCCCGGGAGGTAGAGTACTCCCCGGCATTCGTTCCCTGCCATAGCTTTATAGGGCTGCAGTTGGTGTACTTCTGTGCCCTTTCGTATTTCCTTCACCTTGAGAAGTTTCTCCAATGTTAGGGGGTCGCGTGTTTTTATGGCTATTGCATTTGCCTTTTTATTACGATGAGCGGTGTACTGCTCATTGCTCTGAACGCCGGTTTGCTTGACAGCGTCAAAGATTTCCTGCCCTGTGAAGGCATTCACTGCCTTTCTTCCAATGGACCGAAGTACCACCGTCTGTGTTGGTTGTGGAATTGGTTTTGACGTTTCCGCATCCTCCGGAGTCAGTGGGTTTCTTTTCCTCTTTCGTGCTGTGGCGCCCGGGAGCGGCCACTCTTGATCGTCATCTCCCTCCATATTCTGCGATGCAGCTTGCGGTGGCGTTCCATGTTGCAAGGGCACCTCGGTGTTGTGTTCTTGGTTAAGGCCGCCATGGCACTGAGATGCGGTGACTGTTGGAAAATGGTTTCCATGCGGTGTCAGCGAACGTGCTGTATAGGAATGGTCGCTATCCGGAATATGCCGGTGCTCTTCTGACGAGGTCGTGTTATCTTGCGTATTTGTTTCGCTTCTAGGCGAGCGAGATCTTGCGCTACATCGTGTCGATGAACGCCGGTGCCGTGGTTCCTTTTGCCGCACTTGTTGAGGTGGGCAGTGCTCAGCTTGCGGAGGTGGTGTGAACTGCGCCATAAAATGATTCAGTGCCTCGAGGAATGCGGGGTTCTGCTGAATCAGTGTCGCTAATACATTAAATGTATGTTCGAGACTTGGTGGCGGTGGTCCCTGTGGTTGTTCTTGAGTTGATGGAAGGCTTACTTGCAGTGGGTGAAAGGTTCCGTATAGAGGTCTGTCATCGGGGAAATGGTCGGCTCCGGGTGGTGGCTGTTGCTGGGTGAGCCTGGACATTTCTGTGCCAGACGCCTCCGGCGGCGATGGTAATAGGTCACCACCCGAGCTGGTCTGGCCCGAGGCCAGGGCCAAGGCCGCTGGGAACCCGCAGGCCAGTGAAGTGGGCGCTAGGTTAATCTCGCAGGAGCCGTAAAAAATACGTCCTATCAGTTCCGAACTCTTCTTCTTCTCCTCACCAAGGACTGCTTTACGGGTCGTTTTCTTCCTTATCTTCTTAGTTTCAACACTGCTAAAAAAAGAGTGACGCGTCGTCTGCACGCAAAGTCTCGCGCAATACTCTCGCGGTTGGCTGGTTGGCACGTGAACGTGCCCACGAACGAAGAGGGAGAAATTTAAAAACGTTAAACGAAACCTCCTGTTTGAAGTCACCCCTAAACGCACCATTTCGGAAACTGTGTCATAAATTCGGGCGGGCGTTTCACGTCAAACTTTCTTTAAATATATTTTTCTCTCTAAATACACAGTTCTCAGGCCTAATATTTTTAATAGGATCCCTGGGAATCAATTTCAGTTGTTTGAAATAATAAATAAATATCTATGTTGGGTTTGTCAATGGCCCTTTAATGACCAAAAACCTGCTGTGATAAAATCCTTGGTGGTTTACGTGACGGCCACATGCCGGTGGTCTGGGAAGTGCTGCTCTCTCCAAATTCTAAAGCCAAACGGCGACCTGTCTGCGACCATTTTCTGACGCCGTCCTCGCTGCGATTATAAAGCTCTTTGGCCGTTCTCCGGGGCGTTTTGAAGGTCATCTTTTTTTAGATTCTGACATCTCCCACTGCGTAATCTAAGGCTGACTTCGTCTCCGGGCGGTGTTGTCGCGTTTTTTGACCTTGACGCTGTAACGTGGGTGAGATCGTTTGCGGACAGCGACGCGTGAGATCGTCTGGATCTTCTTGCGGTCAGAGATGCTTCACTCTTTAAGGATGCCGGCAGCGATTTTACCACGGCTTCTGACATTGGTTGGGGCAGCAGCGGTGCTGATACCATCGCCACCAACGATCATCAAGATCCCCAAGAATGAACAGCTCTTCCAGGTACCTTACTCGTACCAAATCTGTCGGCCGATTAACATTACTGTTATCGCGGATACGCAAAGCGTTTATATATATATATATATATATATATATATATATATATATATATATATATATTTGAGCCTACTTAAACGTTGCCTGGAGCTTTTTTTCGCGAGCTTCGTGAGTTTAAGGGCGATGGCAGAAATAATCGTACCTATAATTTCGAGTGCGTATATGTGTATGCAATGCGTTACTCCGTGATGTGCTCTGCTTACAAATTCTGCTTGGGGCCACAGCATCAATAATCTTTACCTAAGTTTGGCATGTTGAAACTCACAGACGGTTGCTCGCATCTATATAAAATGAGGCTTAGATCACTTAACTTTATTTAAGTTTACAGCCACTAAAATTTGACGTCATGATGGCGCTTAAGGCGAGGACAAAAGGGAGACAGACAACACGGAGTGCTACTTCAACTGTTTATTTTTGAACAATAGTGGGGGACATATATACACTCACACCGCTTCACGTCAGCCAATCCCGGGCCTAACCGTCGCTCGCAAAAACGCTATCTCCTTGTCTAACAAATCAATGGAGGCAACGCTGACACATTGTGCTCCAGACTGTTTTATCAAGTCTGCTTCTATTATTTCCCTGACCGTCTTATCCTTGTGTCTGGCTAGAATCGCGCACGTGTTGAACAAGGGCCTGCATCCACAATCGTGACAATGAACTGAAAGATGACCGTCACGGTGGTTACTAACATTCATATTGTGCTCCCGTAACCTATCATTTAAGAGGGGGCGCACCTCAGAGCCCCATAGCGAATACATGAGGTTTTTCACCAAATTAAAAAAATTCTCACATAAAAACGGCTGCGCGGATCTTCTTGAAAATTTCGGCTTTAAAGACATTGAGTCATTATCGAGACACTAAACGCAACAGATGTTTCGTCATAAATTTAATTATATTCTTTAAAAAATTCATGAAAATGGTCAAAATCGGCTAATTCGGCACTCTTGCGTTCGGAGCGAATTTACAAAATTATCTAAATTCAAACATAAGAAGAATTGCGTTTAATGTCTTCTAAATTTATTACGGAATCGAATAATATTCAAATTATTCATGTAAGTCGATTTGTTCCGTAACTACAGCAAATATAAAGAACCAAGGTGTCGGTGCTTGTTTTCGTCGTTTTTAAGGTACCTCTCTCTCCCGTGCGGTGGCGCTCGCTGTCCACGAAATGCGAAATCGTCCGTTCGGAGATCGGCCGGATCGGCACTGTGCGAGGTGTTCTTCCGCGGCCGTGTTCCGCGCCCGTATCCTGTTTCATTCTGCACGCCGAGGCGTCAGTGTGCGTGTCTTGCTTTCCAGGTTCTCGCTGGGTAGGTCTCCGTGTTTTCGCAAGTGGCAAATTCACCTTGGAGCTATGGGTCGAAGACAACCGTCCTGTGGCAAGCGGACCGCGAGGTGTTCCACAACCTCGCGGTCCGTCAACGCGTTGTGCTTGTTTCTACTTTTTTTTTTTCTTTTAAAAACGGGCTTTTTTTTTTTTTGACGCAAAGTTTTATTTTATCGTTATCCTTCACACAAACGTCCTTCGGCCTTGGGGTCGTGGAAATTGGGGATGAAGCGTGCACAGAGTAGATCGTTGTTTGCCTCCTTTTTATTTTTCACGGACGTCCTGTGACCTCCGTACGGTTCGTGGTCACCACAATCTAACGCGGGGAAAAACGGGTCGCCTGCTCTGTAGTCAGGGTATTCCTAGGGGAGGGTGATAACTCGCTGTTCTTCTGGAAATTCACATATCACCCAAAAAGGTGACATGGGTAATGATTACGGTATGTTTTTTTCCAGGGTTTATTTTTGAGCGAAAATCGGTGCATGTTTTTCGGTGCTTATTTTTTAATCACCAGTGTATTATGGGTTGAACGTCTTGTGATGACGCTAAAAAGCGTTGATAACCAAAGAAAAATGCGATTGGACAAGAGCATTTCAAATTTCCAATTCTATTCACATATCCATTACGCTCTTCTCGTGGGAGCATCTATCCTGACGAAAAATGCCAAAGTCATTGAGCTGTGAACGCATACTCAGTGTACAATCTTTCGGCCTAGAGAGGTATTGCGCACGCTCGAACGCGCTTCACAGCCCAGTAGACGAAGTTGGTGGCACCCAGAAGGCGAGTTCTTGAATGGTCTGTAGTAGGCAAAAGAAACAAATAACAATGAACGCATATCAGCTCTTCAAGCGAAGAAGCGCGTTTCTAAGGTCAATGGTTCCGGACGGCACTAATGTTGTTGGCGTTGTCGTAAGATGACGTCAGTTCATACGAACTGACGTCATCTTACGTGATGACGTGACACAAACACGTCATCTTACATGATCTCGTTACACGAAATGACGTCATCTTACGTGATCACGCTGCACGAAATGACGCCATCTTACGTGACCACGTAACACGTCATCTTGTAAGTCAACCTCTCCACACAGCAGCGCTTTCCGGGCCCGTGCAGTGCTGTAGTCGAAAGCCAGCTCCCTATGGCAAGCGAAAGCTTCTGAAGTCTCACATTGAGAATACTCGCTAGCGACCGTCTGTGGAAGCTTCGCACGTTGAGGTTTTTGTCGAGATCGAGCCATCGTGTTCCATTAACTATAGTTGAAGTTATCGTTCAATAAAGCCCTAAAAAATATGAATGTAGTTGGTGTAGACATCAAGATCTAATAAAAAATGCGGTTTGACGTCAATTAACGTGCATATACAAGTGTAGAAAAAAAATGAGTTATTTGTGCATAGATTTTAAAAAAGTGTTTATTATTCGACATAGGACTTTGGGAGAAGGATGTGTTCAGATTTTTCTCCATGAGCGCAAATATACCTGACGCAATAAATAGTGACGATTTCATCGTCCCAGTGGTGAGCAGGTGATTTCTTGCTCGAAACAATGATGCCATTTCATAAACCAAGTTTTGTGACATATGCTTTTCCAATGTCTGGTCACTATTTTGTAAACCTTTCAGTCCAAACGAGTATACTTCTGTTTGTTTTTGTTAGCTTAGGAGGGGGTCACAGAGCCTATCTCTTTGTCTTCCTCTAGGACAGACGTACAGAGTTATACCGCAACACGCATCTGTGGAACACACAGAGCTATCGCTCTCCTGTTGGCGGTACAGTAGCAGACGACACAACGCAGCTCCGTAGTCTATCGAGGGCACGGCTAGCCGCGGCCCGTAGCGCGACCGTTCAGACTTGGGAAATGGTTTTGAAGAACCGAGAAATGGTATCTTGTGTACAATAATCACATGTCGTTAGTATACTAGTATTCTACTTGCTAAGCCAAATAAATATTTGCAGCTTGTGAGAATATGTTTGCGTGACGATTTACCGTTCACACTCCTGACGATGTTAGCGAGTCCTTCATGTTCGTGGCTCGCAGTTATCGCTACCCCCTCGGAGTGACTTCACCATATATATTTTTTCTTGCTTGCAGGACATCATAAAAATCACAAACACGCGAGAAAAAAAAATCTTATGAGTACGCGTGATTTTGAGCTTCGCAGCTCTAAAGATGCCCGGTAAATGTCGTCCAGTCTGTTTTGTCTATACTCCGTTTCACCGTAATTTGGCAACCCTCAGTCGCGGAGCAAAGCACGTGACAGCTACTTTTACGAGCAGTACTATGGCACCTGCAGCGCGTCTCCGACTGGTGTGGTTAGCGTCTTATGCTGGCCATACATCAAAAGTTGTCCCGAAGTGCAACAAATGACGTCACAGAAGACGGAGTGTCACGCTGTTGCATCTCGCGATCCTGGCAATTCATCGTAGAAATGCTGGCGAAAACCACGAGGGAACACGAGTGTCGCTGTCGTCATGGCGTCCCAACGAAAAGCAATTATACAATTTCGACGTTTTTGTAATTCGGTAATTTAAATTACTGTATATAATTTTTAAGAAAGTAAAGACATCATAACCAAATAGGAACTTCCGTGCCAAAACATGCAGTGCGAAGTGAAGACAACTACTATCTTTTTTTTTTCTTGATGTCCACAAAAAAAAAAAAAAAAAAGCTATGCAGCATCGATCCTACCGTTTTTTTTTTTTTTTTTTTCGCACATTATGTGATGTCCTCTAACACGAAAGTACCGACGTAAAAGCGCTGTAGAGACGATATAAAAACAAAAATTTAAGGGAATCGAGCTTTGTAGTAAACGGAAAAAAATAAATAATTAACGACTTTTTACGGTAAACACTTCACCTCTAAGTAGAACTTCAAAAAAGTGACGGTTACGCGCTTTCATGCCCATTTCAACAAAGTTGGGAGAACGATGTATTGCATCTTGTGAATAGACATGTGGAGCAGCATGTTTATGTTAGAGGCATTGTGTGTAATCGCTGCGCAGTACCTGCCAAAAGAAGATATTATTTGGGCAGTCTCAACCGTTTCCGTCTGTGTGTGCTACGAATACAGCAACTCTTTTCGTAGAAGAAGTGATGAGGAAATGGCGTGCCCTTGATGATACGATTGTGATTATGAAATAAAATTTTTAATCAGCCAATAATTGCGACCTGTCCGGTCGCCTGGAACCCCGACAACAACTCTCGTTCTCTGGAAAGTTCATTCTAATATTTACACGTTTTGTGGAGTTCATCGAGCGAATAAGAATGTTCCAACGATGAGCTAAACCTACACGAGTTCCCCAATCCAACTCGGCGCTTTTGAATTTTAGCGCCGTAGATAGTTCTGCGAACAGAGTATACTTCTGTGCAGATATTCGTCTAACAGTTTTGCAACGTTGGAAAGCATCGGAATGATTCAGAATCACTGCGGAGTTGATACTCGGGAAGATAAGACGGGCACTTGGGAGAAACGGACCGTGGCATTTGAGACAGGGGCACAACCGGGGGACAAACGTGCTACAATCGCATACCCTTCCAAGGTCATCGCTTGGGCGACCGCGCGCGCGCCCAAGAAACCTTTTTTTTCTTCTTTTTAGGGGTGGTGGGGGGGGGGGGGGGG